AGAAAAACAAGTACGAAGAAAGGAATTTGATAATATGAAAGTGTAGAATACTGGAAATAGAGCTCGATGATATTTTCTCGAGATCCATTCGACGTATCGAAAGGGAAACGGATCGCAGCGGATATCTGACGCGATTAACAGGATGAATTATAGCCAATTGAAAGCGGTTGAATAGCAAATGGTAGCCTTACTTCCGTTCACCGAAGAAGAACGCCTCGGAGCCTCTTCTTCCTCGTTTCAGGCCCGGTTCAACAAACCGCAGAACCTTGCCTCGATAGCGCGACTCTCAAAACGAATTCAGTAAGATTTATATGCCGCGTGGATAATCAGACAACGACGGTTTTATCTCTACCTCGCATCCCCGTGTGAATCCAATCACCGACTTGTACATCTTCTTTCAACTCACGAACGAAGAGTAAACCGTAATTGGTATATTTTGACAATTCTTGGTAACGTTCTTGGAGCGAACATCGTCTGTCCGATGATATTTCGACGTTGGCATTGCGTAAACGTTACGATTTTTGCTTCGAGAATTTTGCTTGGTTGAAAAAAAAAGAGAAGGGAAGCGACCGTAATTGGCTGTCGTCCACCGAGATAATCAGATACCGGAAACTTTCCACCAAAGATCGTTCCTTCCACGTCGTTCCACAGAGCTTTAATTAACGGTGCTCGGTGTTATTACGTAAAAGATTCGAAACCAGGGATGGGCAAAGACGTTACCCAAACCCTCTCGAATCGGCGCAAAGGAGAGAGGGAGAGAAGGAGGCGCACCAAACACCACCATTATTGCCACGACCGCGTCCCAGTTTTATTGCATACACGCTGCAACCGAATGATTCACTCGCGAGTAAAAGTTTTAGCGGGAATACATTCGAATATTTACGTGTATATATTATTTCTTCTTCTTCTTCTCCTTCTTCTTCTTCTTCCTCCTTTCTTAATTGCGCGATCTCGTTGGATCGAGGGAAACGATATTTTCCACGCGACTCGAGATCAGAATCGTTGAAACGAAAAGATAGATCTGCACGATCGTTGTTGCACGTTGTCAGACCTTTGACGAGTATTATTCTTCGAGGAGGCGGGTTTCATTCATCGTTACGCAATTAAACTGAATCGTGGTAATTAAAAGCGGTGTTTATCCCGCGATTCCTACTTATCTTACGATTATCCTTGTCTACGTGGAGTGATTCACACACTTTTGGAATTTAACTTTCGTCGAGAATTTAACTGCTACTTTATTTACTCCACTCTGTGAGAAAAAATTATCGATGAGATTTGCATATAATAATACAGAAACAATTTAAAAGTATGTTTCCTGTAACTAAAGAAAAATTTAAACAAATTCTACATCTATATCTAAAAATTTTAATCGAATTAATTCCTCGCATTCGAAAATTTGAAAAACAATCTCTAAATAAAATCTTGAACAACTTAAGATGTAATAGCTATTGAGACATTTAGCGCGAGCGAACACGTTGCGACTCGTGAAAAAACAACGAAGAAAAATCGTGGTGGTCGCCAGACTTTTCCACCGGCGAGTGGATATATCGGATGATCGACTAACCAATTGGCATTTTGCTCGAATAATTACATGTTATACCCGGCCGTTCAACCGTGAACGCAGATAGCGGCGAAGAGAGCCGCTAAAATGCACCGGGAGGAGAGGCGAGGCGGAGAGGAAGGAAGGAAAGAAAAAAAAAAGAAAAGAAAAGAAAAGAAGAAGGAAAAAAGGGGGGACACGAGAGACGTTGCGGCCAGACTGCAATTAGACCTCGCGCCGCAGCTGGACCTCGTAATCGTCGCCACGGTACATAGATCTTCGATTTTTCGGCACGAATCCGTCTTATTATCCGATAACCGACGCTTTACGATCCTTACGCTTCGTTTCCTGTTACGACGTCTCCTGTTGGAGCGTGCCTCTCCAGATACCGTTTCGTTTACTTTCGATGTTTTACCAATGGGAACAGTAATAATGCTCGTTGCAAATTTTTTCTTTTTTAAAACGAAGAAAGTTGGCTCATTCTCCATCCGTTGTTTTAAATATTTCGTTCAGGTATTATCCGATTTTTGAATGTACTTTTCATCAGATATATCGATCGAAAGGGATAAAGCGAATATCAATTTTTATTCCTGAAAATTAAACCGAATTAACTGAATTGGAAAAATTTTCGATATATAATTATAGATCTTATATCAGCAAAATATCGAATTAGATGGAATAAGAAGGATTAAAAATTATTTGCCGTCTATCCGAGATTCATCCCAAGGTATAAATCTATCAGTAGCCCCGATAACCAGCGTGTATAACTCGATGAATCGTCTTTCGCCTCTCGATAAAGATCCAAAGCGCGGTTTATCGAGGATGAAGGGGGCCCGGCGTAAAATCGATACACGTCCGAAGCAAAGTTGTTGCACCAGGCGCGTCGAATCGGACGGGATGGAGAAGGCAGCGAAGGTGACCAGCCACGAGATAAAGGAGCAATGGACGAAGGTGGAGGAATGACACCGGATGACAAAGTAACGCGTGCGAGGAGCGGAGAGAGCCACGGCGACAATGGGCGGCTGATTTGTGAACTGCCAGCTCGGATATCGTCGTCGCTCGGCCCACGGTTTCATCGAACCTCCATAAATTTCTATGGTTCAACATGGGAGGCTCTCTTTCCGGGTCCGGCGATCGCAGCTGCGCCGCCCGTGTCCTTCCTCAACATTCCACGGCCCGAGTTGCTCGTCCACCTTCCAACCACTTCTGTCACCGTCTTTACCGTGCTCCCTCTGTGCTAATCACACTCCTTTCTTTTTCTCTCCTCTCTCACACCTTCCCTCTCTTTCCTTCAATTTAGAGAATTTTGCCAAAATTGTACAATTGTATATATATATTCAATCGCTACTTTAGATTCTCATAGATCTCTCTCAAAATAATCTCTATATTATGAATTAATTCTTCCCACTTTTCGATGAAAGTTTTTGTAACGAATTTTTGTACAAAACTTATATGACATCTCGAGTACAAAGAATTGTATTAGTTATAAAATTAGAAAAAGCAGATTGACTTTTAGACAACTAATCGTGACCTTTCTCAATCTAAATCCCGATATGCTTGCACCGTCGAAGTAATCGAATACGACAAAGGGGGATAAGAGCGACAAGTGGACAACACGGATATATATATATATATACGAGGCACGAAACCAGTTTCACGTATAATTTGGCGCGAACGATCCTGGAGCAGGGCCTGGTGTGTTCCACCAGGTCAGAATGCTTGCACGATCAAAACAATCGTGTTCACCAGCCATCATGCCAATCCGCATTATCGTTGTTTTCTCGTTACGATCCCGTGGACCATTCATTCTCGACACCATTATCGCTCTGCGGTTTCGATTGATTTGCGCAATGGTACGGATTGCGGTCATCACTTGCGTTGCCTCGAATACGATTCCACCCGAATTTTCATCCAAAACGTTTTATTCGCGTCGTTTCTCTCTCTCTCTCTCTTTCTTTCTCTCTCTGCCAAACTGCAATGAAAATTTTACCAACGATCGAGATCGAATACTTTCATTTGTACATTTTGTAACGAATCTTGCGAAGTAAAAAGAAGAAGTAAAAAGAAGAAGAAGAAGATGATGATGATGATGATGGATCTCGCCCAACGATAAACGAAAAAAAACGACGATTAAGGTGAAACTTGGCCGGGCGGAGATGCATGGAGTCTTTTCAACGCGAGCCACGGGAGATGCCGTCACATCTGTAAATAAACAAATGGACAAACGAACCGCGCAGCGGGCCGCCCAATTGGAGGCTGTTAAAGGAGGGCGCCCGAAAGTGTTTCGAAAGGGGTCACGGGCTTAAAGCGAAACAGCCAAAGAGGAGATGCGTTTTAATCAGGCCGAGAGCCGACCGACGACCCTTCGAGAACGTTTCGCAAAATAATGCAATAATGCCTCGGGTTAATTTCACCAGAACCAAATTTAGTGGGCAAATTTAACAACGCGAAATCGTATTCATCGTTCTTCGATGAATTTCGTCAAATGTCGATTATGGCCACGTAATAATTCGAGACGAAGAAAAAGGGAAGAAGAGATTGATCGAGCGTCCATTAATAATGTGTCCGTTAATAATGCTTAATTAACGTTGAAGAAAATTTCCACTTCCAAATTTAATCGAACGACGAACGTTTTTCTTTCGATCATCTCCGTCTTCGATCTTACGAATAACCAGCCAGGAAAAACTGGCTACAAAGATCCTTCTTAATCCGTTAAAAATAATTCGTCCATAGATAAAAGGGGATATTCGATTAAAATGAAACGAGTTTTCCACGGACATCCAACTTTTGCGGTTTCCGTTTTGCACGATGCCACGCCATCGAGCACCGGCAGTGGATGAAGTACCGTTAGAAACTGCAGAGAGACGCCAGCCAGCGCCACGTCCGCTCCAGCACCACCAGGTATAATAATCGGTGTAGGAAAAGATAAGAGCGCGAAGAGGAATGCGAACGTGCAATACGCTCTTTGTCCGTGTTTCTCGCCTCTCGTGATTCACGCTCGAAGCTATTTTTTAATGCCGCGCCATTTTTTTTTCACATTCCTCCCAACTATGCTATCCTTCCTATGTTTTAATGTTTAAATTACCGCGACCCGTTTCGTTTCGTAATTTCTTCTGCCCAGCCTACCTTTTACGGGGAAGGGAAGGGTGGGGGAGAGGGGGAGTTTTAAAAAGAGAGCGCAACCTCTTCGCTCGGACGTGTTCGTTTCTTTTTGCACGGAGCCGCTGGGACCACCACGTTATCGAAACCGTGATCCCCGCGATCCCTAATTATCGCGTCGGAGAAAGTGAGCCGCCGTGAAAATAAACTCGATTGCGTAATTAATAATAATAATTCAAAACGCATCTCGGAATTCGAATTTCATCCGACTCCTCTGTAATAACAGGGTTTCGTCGCAGAGGCGTTTACGTGGTGAATTTCCCCTCGTGTCGATACACAGTATTCGTATCGTACCCGTGGATAAATCGTTTTATCCACCTATTGTTTCGAGAAATTTTTTTTTTTATCAGTATTATGCAGGATAGATCTTCTAAGACGATCGTCACGAAATTGGTGATCATCTAAAACCATCTAAAAAAAAAAAAGAAAAAAATTGGATATCAAGTTAGTTAGATATTTCTTCTTTCTAAAATAAAATTTAAAAAGAGAGATAATTTTAATACGTATATATTAAAATTGATACGACTTCCTTCTTAAACGATATTAAAATCTGCAAATATGATTCGAGCTCGATTCGAAATGAAAATCGAGGTGTTTATTCCTCTTTTCACACATCCGATACAACATTAAGACATTCTCCCCTTCACGCCACGCAACTTTCATCACGCGAAATAATATTTCGTACGGGGAATAATTTACGAGTTATTCGTATGGTTACGTTACGTACGGTCATTCCGCGTATTCGACCGGTAATGTACTCCATATTCCAGCAATATTACGTGCATATAATCCACATAGCCATTTACTTAACGATGCGCTCGAGACGCATTTTCTTCCTCGTTTCGCGGCTACCTTCTCCTGATTAATGGATTCGATGCCAAGAGGACGAGACCGATCGATGATGGATGGGTTATAAATGAGTGATTAATCAGTTTACGGTGTCATTGGGTAGCCGATCCGAAGCGGTTCCACTACGAGTGAACGTAGCACGCTACTACGCCTACTGTCTATCTTCCGCGCTCTCTCGCCTGCCTTCGTACGTAAGAATGTCGCTTAAACTGTGTACGCCTAGACCGGTCGCGCGACTAATATGGGAGTGTGCGCCCGGCTGAAGCCTCAACTGGATCACCGATCCAGCTCGCCGATCGAATCGCTTCCCTTGGCCATTAAGCTCTCCTCACAATTGTCTTGATGGACCGTCGAAATAATTTCCCTGATTTAACTTTCCTACTGGATTATACCTGGAAGAAAAATTATCGTTGTATATCGAAAGTGTTTTTTCGTTTCGGACGGTGTCGTGAGACTATCTACAATTAACTTCGCGAATATCCATATTGGCGAAATGTTGTAAGAGTTTTGAGAGCAATTTTCGGTTGACGACGAATGTATTCGTGTGTAGAAGATGAGGAATTGCACGATATTATTTAACCAATATCGATTAATTGGAGATTTTAGTTTGTTAATAATGAAACAAGCCAATGAAAAGTAATAATAGAATAATTGTTATGACATAATATCTATTTTCTTTTTTATTGACCCGCATAATAGCGTAATTTAATTTTCGTATGAATGAAAAGGGAAGCAGTGAATACCGTAAAAAAGGCGGTATTAAATCGATTATTCTTTGAATTTTATATTCGTATTCGCGTGTAAGCCGTTTTGGAAATATAAAATGGAAGAATTGTGAAGGAGGCTTAAGGGCGCTTCTCGCAATTGTCGAGAGTGGGCAGGGATACCGAGGGATCATAAGGTGATCGAGGAAGTCTCTGATCTATGGCACGGGTCTGACGACTTCGTGAGCTTCCGTGGCTCACTTTTTCATATTCCACGAACCGTAGCTTGCGAAACCTCGTTTCGCTCCAGTTGCATTTTTCTCCTCCTTCTCCTCCTCCTCGGTTTTCCTTTTCCCTTTGGCGACAGACTTATCTTCTTAACCTTACCAGAATCCTCTTTTCACGATTTCCCGCATTCTTAAATTAACCATTATTAAAAAAAAAAATCGTCGAGACAGCGAACATCTATCTGGCAGCCATTGTCTGGCGTATAATTTAATACGTTTAAACTTTCTTAACAAATTCCAATAAATGATAAATTGTAGAAAACTCAGACGAGGTTTAATTTTTCGAGGTTCATTCTTGGCAGACATCACAGACTTCCTTCATTTCTGTAGAATACTTTAAGAAAAGTAAAGATCGATTAGATATGGATCGATATCAGTCGAGATCGATTTGATTTTGTTGTTCGATCGCTATAGGACCATCCAGTAGATTTTTGCCTGACTCCGAAAGGCGAACGGATAAAGAGTTTTACAACATCGGCGAGGGTCCGAAATTGGCGTTGCAATAAAGAAAAGGTCAGAGAGACCGTAAAGTTAGCGAGATAATAAAACAGGCGTAATGATGCTGGTAACGTGTGGTGTGTAATTCGTGTTCCGAACACCAGAGAAGAAAAGAGGAAATTGCGATGAATTTCTCAACTATCGGCCGCACCATCGGAAGCGATCCGCTTCTAAGAATCGATTTCTTGGACAATACGATCGAATTTAAGTTGGAAGGTTGCAAGTTGAGAGGAATTGACCAGCCAGAATGCAACAAAATGTTAGAAACTTTGAATAGAATCTTGAAATAAGATCTTTTGATTCTTGAATTCTTGAAACAATATAAATATTTGTCTTACGATCTCGTCTGATTAATGTTGTCATTGTATTGAAAAAGGATAATACACGTGAAAAATCCATATTGTACATACAATTCTCTGAACTTTCCAGTATGTCTACATACAGTTCCAAAAATACGGATCATTACGGATATTCAATATACCTTATACAAAAATTGTGCAACAATTAGATGTAAGAAGAATGTAATAGAATGTAAGAAGAAAAAATAACTTGGCATCGATCAATGATCACGTATAAAGATAATATATATTTATAATAATGAAGATTGAATCCACGATCGAGAAGAAATACACAACGTGTTAATGCCACGTACCATTGGAAGCAGTCGAGCATTTCGAACCTGCCTCTGCGTGTTGCTATCCATTTCCACCTCGTCGTGAGAGATTACGTTCCCATTCCTTTTTTTTTTCTTCTCTTCTTTTCCTCGACGAATTCCATCGGTAACGTGGTTACTCGTCGTGTGCCGTGCGCGTAGCTGGTGTTTCTCCACCTTGATAATTCTTTCCTGCAATTTCTCCGCGATCGCTTTTATGGTCCCCATCGGTCAGCGGAGAGAACCACTCTCGACAGCAGGAAGAAGAACGCGGTTGTGTCGCCGCGTTCCTCTCAAAGGGCTTGTTTTTCCTTGCAGCGAGACGAGGGAACACAAAAATCTGAAGGAAAAGGAAAGACGTTTGATTACCTAATATCGTGGAACCGATTTTTTTCCACGGCCTTTCTTGTTCGACATCTATATTATTCGATCGTTAAATGCACGCAGGAAACGAGTATGATCTTCGAACGAACATACGTAACTTTGAAGAATGGTCTCGGATCTAAATACTTTAATCCACCCAATTTCAAAATGTAATTTAAAAAATTTACAAATATTGAACAAAATATCCGTCCATCATTTCTATCTGCAATCATCCAAACAATTCCAAATTTAGATATCCACCATAGCGAACGATCAAGGAAATACATCCGATTTCACTTTCCCCAAATCCAGATCGTACCGTTATGAAACCGACATTCAAAATACAATAGAATAATTCCGAAAGTGGTCGAGCGACGTGTCCTGCGCTATCTTCGAGGCATTCATCGCCGCTTGAAAAAGTTACGCAACGCTTCCGCGTGCGCCGCGCGCGGGGGAAACCGGAAGCGACGGTTCGAGCCGATGCAACGGAGGTTGGCGAAAAATCCGATACATCGATCGGGCGGGAAACCATCGGAAGTCGATACGCGAGACCGCAGCCCGGGGATCGTCGCTTCCGCTTCGCCTCTCGCGCGCCGATTGTTTCCGCGAGGCAATGGACGTCGTCGATGATCGAAACGACGCGACACAAAAGGGAAAAAGAAGAAGAAGAAGAAGAAGAAGAAAAGAAGGTGGTCGAGGAAATAGGAGGAGAGCGGAGGCGATATAGGACGGAAATAAAAAAGAAAAGAAAAAAAAAGGAGAAAGTAAGTCTGAAACGCGCGAGCGTTCAACGGAGGTTGATGGATGGGATCGTGGGATGAGATGCTTCGAAAGCTAGCTCTAGAAAAGGTTTCCTCCTATGAATGTTTCTCTGGAATTGTTATGTTTACGAAGTGATAATAAGATCGCCACGATACTCGATTTGTCGAATATCAGCAATCGAGTTGTAATTTGAGTACCATTGTGTTTATTACAGCGTTTAAAATTGCGATTGATCGAGCCCAATCGTTAAATGGTTAATTCGTACGGCCACTGTGATAATTACAGGGATAATATTGATTAAAAAAAAAAGTGAGATACGAGCGAAGAAAAAGGAATACAATGAGTAGCAGAAAGAAAGCAGGAATAAATTATACGTCGTATGGTATAGAATTAGTCGAGTTATACGTACGTATAATTTTCACGTGACTGTTCAAAGAGCGATACATCTCTTTCTGAACTCCGGATTGAAAAAAAAAAATATCCAATAACGCGTGAATCATCAGCTCCAATTATCCTGTCCTCGGATCCTGTTATCGGATCTCTATCATTCGTTTCATTCTCATTCGTGAGGAGGATCGAATACACCAACCGAGCGATCCCCACCATCCGACGTTGAAGAAAAATCGGCGCGCAAATCTAGTAAAATTAAGATCGAGCAAGTTCGTTAATTAATTACAATTAACGATCAACCGGAAATTTATCAACCTCTCGTTCGAAATTTCGCCCGATAAATCGCATAAATGGCCACGCGGTGACGTTCTCCACGTCCCGTCGTCTTCCGTTCCGGAAGCTTCTCCGGCCGCAGATCGGCCGGTGGGGATCGCAACGTATCGATAACGCAACGTTCCATCGCACGAAAAGGGAAACGGGCCGAGCTACTTGATCACGGGGACACTCGATGAAACGAAGCGACTTGGAAGTGGTCGGCCGGTGGTGAAAGAGGCGGAGGTGGAGGAAGGGAGCGGTGAAGGAAGAGGTGAACGTTGGGAAACCGAGGCGTAATCCGAGGCGTAGATGCATCGATAGCGCGGCGAACAGCCCAGCTTACCCGACTACCACCGACTTCCAGGAGCGTTCTCTCTCTCGCCGCGGCCTCTCTCGCAGCCACGCACACACGACCCAGAGATTCTGCCACCTTCTCCACCTCCACCAACTTCTATCCTCTCTCTCTCTCTCTCTTCTATTTCTTCTTCCTCGAACGCGTGCGTGCACGCGAGCGCGCACGGGAGAATGCGAGCGGACGTATGGGCGGTCTACGCTGGCCGACGTCTTCAAAAATGTGGGGAGTGGACCTCGCGGCTCAGCGTCGCTCACCGGATCCGTTTCCACTTTCGCGCTCCTAGAACGCCGTCTCGATTCGAACGCCGTTGGTCAAGGTTGAATTTGTGCCTCGTAAACGTGCCTTAAAAACGATCGAAGGATGCTCGTCGATTAACGAGCAATTCTTTTTCTCGCGAATCTTTCGAAGAGGTTGAAAATTGAACTGACATCGAAAGAAGAGAAACGATTTATTATCCGCCATACTTTTGAATAGTTCGTCCCTGGGGCGGCAATTTTTTATCAGGTATTTAGAAGGTGGAATTATCTTACGGAGGAGAGTCGATCCGACGAGGTTCGGTGATAAGATCGGGTGGCGGTGATAGGCGGGGTCGCGATGAGAACCACTGGACGGGGAGCGGACTCTCGAAGCACTTTATCTCCGGGATGTGGGTCGCGACTGCCGCCCGCCACGCGAGCACACCGCGAACGCTAATACTATCTTAAGGCTCGTCCACACCTGGCTGCACGTGCGCAGCCGACAGTTTCTTAGAGAGCGTACACCGAACATTAATCGTCCGCCAGAAGGGACCCTTCTCTTCCTCGAGTTATTATTAGAAAGGTTAATTCGCCACGAGGAGGAATATGGAAGAAGGATATCATTTCGAGGGAGGGAAGTGATTTATCGTTTCCAAGGGATTCTCGTGTTTTCACTTTCCATCGAAAAATCGGATAAAGATTGGAGAACGAATCCGCAAAACTACTTCCGAGTTTGTTTCGAATCCCGCTACTTGTTTATTGGAAACGATCTCGATTTTTCTTCTTCCTGTTCTCCCTAAAAGTTTTCTCCTGCCTGCGTTCGTATCGTCGGACACGTTCCGAGAGAAGAGATCGGGCGTACGAATCGTACAAATTATACTCTAATGTGGATGGAAACATCAATTAACGTCTAACGGCCGGTTGTAAGTGGCTTTAACGACCATCGTCCGTTGATGGGCTTCAAACGCCGCCCTCTTTTACGCCGCGGCTGCACCTGCGTGTCTCCTCCCGTGATTGACGTCCCTCCGTGAATTTCTCTCTCGCGCGGGAAGTTTCTACTAAAAGGGGATAAAGGATGGATACGCTCCATCGTGCGTCTATCGAAGATCGGGAAAAATTAAGAGGGAGAGAGAGGGAGAGAGGAAGAGAAAGAGAGAGAGAAAAGTGGACTCTCTCGTTGGTCTCATTGGTTGGAATCGATTTCGCCTCTGAAAGCCTTCTCTCTCTAGTCTATTTGCCGAGGAACGTTCTAATCCTGCGCGGACGAAAATAGATGATCGGCGGAGACGTTTTTTTCTTTTTTTCTCAGCTCGGCAGCTTCACTTTCGATATTACTTTCGAGGCCGGCGACGTATCCAGTATCAGCCGATCCTTCCACGGTCGGTCGAGAGAGTCTCTTCGCTTTCATCGAAGGCGAGGCGAGGCGAGGAAGAAGAAACTAGATCGACGAGGCGATCTCTTCACTTTTCTAATTGATCGAGTTTGATGTTTTTCTTTTTCTTTTCCTTTTTTTTTCCCCCTAGCGATGGCTAAGAAGAGATACATCGAGTTCGAGCTTAAAATTGGGACGATTGGATCGGGATTCGAACGAGGTCTAAGAAAATTTCCGTCGCTCTAAGAAACGATGGATTTAGACGATTTCGTTTAGAAATTGATTCCGTAACTGTTATTCCATTGGCTATCGCTTTCTTTCTCCTCGATACAATTGCCGTAACATACGACTCTCAGATGTGAAACCTGTTATCTAGAAAAAGAACTACAACGTTTGGCCTGATAGTGTATCGGGACAGGACGATCGTGTGTCTCTGCCAAAGAAACAAGCTGAAAACGTCGAACGGTACGTATACCTTAAAGCCTTCCAGCTACCTTACATAACCACGATATTTCATATTTCAACAGTTCCGCCAAATCTAATACCTACAATTAATCTCAAAAGTATCCGTCCGTGTCGATGTATAAATATTTTATCGAACATCTCGTTTCTCGCTGAAAAAGAAAACGCAACCATTAATTAGAATCGAAATATAGAAGTATAAAAGTAATCGAGTTACAAAAATGCACGATTGAAAAAAAATCACATTCACGTTAGAAATAATAATTTTTCTACCACCAATTATCCCATCGTCCCGTCAATAAACATTACTTGGAAACCACGAAGATCCAACACACTTTCGTATAAATACCCATAAAGGGTTGAACCGCCTGAATACATCACTCGTTGCGTCCCGCACACCTCCCAATTTCCCTTCCTTCGGGTAACCATAACCAGATCGAATTGCGTTACAGCAAGATCATTAGCCAATCTCGGTCGGAAGGCAGCGAGAGAGTGTTACGTAAAAGGGCCAGAGCGGAGCGATAAGCGGGCCGTTTCCAATCTCGACGTCTTCGTCGAGATCGGTCGATCGATCCGGTCTCGTTCTGCCCCAACACCACCGCCCAACGATAAAAAGATGAGAGGAGAGTAATGACATTTAAACGGACGCTATTGCGACGTTATCCTCGCGAAGGAGAGTGTAACTTCCCCTTTTCCTTCCCCGTGCGCGGCACGGCGGGGAGAATAAAAAAAAGACGGCACACGCCTCGCGACGGCACGAACACCGTGTGTACATTTTCCGCGGCGAAACCGAGCGGAGCGGGTCCAAGCGAGCGAGCGTTGCTTTCTCCACCCCGCCCACAATCCGTGTGCACGAGCCGCGCCGCGTGTATACGCGAGCGAGCTTCGTGCAACATGGAAATGGAAGGATCGAGCGGATGCGGCATGAACCTATGCGTCGTCGATCTATCGTGGTTGAAGAGAGAGCAATCGATTTGGATCGATGTTCGAAAGGACGGATCGGGGGAGATTTCTCTCATTCGTGGTTTCGAGAAAGGGAAAGAGAGAGAAATGGAACGGAGGTGAATAGAATATTTTTTTTCTTTT